CTCCAGGCGTTGTCCCTCTCATTCTTTACTGCATACGTGTACTCAGAAGCATCTCTGTCATTGTTTTTCCAGGTCAGGACCACGCTGGTTGGACTCATGGAAACAACATCAATGTCAAACACAGGACTGGGTGCTGTTTATAGGTTGTTTTCAAGGAAAAAGAAAAAAAATACATTAGAAAAATACATGTGTCAGGTCTGCTGTGTCTAGTATAAAAAGCAAATCTTACAATGTCAGTTTCATTTCTCTTCATTTGCCCCTTAGGCGTTCCTGCAACAAAAGGCATTTAAACAAATATGCACATGTATGAGCATGTGTCCCTGAAATGGAGGCTTTAAAATGAGGCAAAACTCATAGAGGTTGACCTTGTTGTCTATGACTTGAACTTAGGGTTAATTCTGTCTAGCAGCAGATACAAAAAGAGATATAAGAGGCAAAATGAGTCTGTCTCCCAATTCTCTGGAAACTCTGCATGTAGAGAGATGGCATAGGATGCAGAAGCATGTGGTAATCATTTTGCCAAACCCTGGCATCATAAGGAAGCTCAGACATAAGCAGCTCTAGGAATCCCAATCTGAACTTCAAGACCTGCTCCACTTGTTAGCTGCGTCACCTGCAATCTGTCCCTTGAAACACTCTCTGGTTCCCCTGTTGACAGGTATAACACACCACCAAATGCAAATGATTACTACTGGCCACCATAACATGGAAACAAGACACTAGACTTGGACATTTAGAACTCTGGGCTAAGACGCCATCCTGCTAGTCACTAGCCTTATAATTTGCTCAGAGTCGTCTCATCTACCCAACATCACTTTCACCATCTATAAAATTGCAGATGTACAGAATCATAAACTAACGGAAGCCATCATGTTTATAACAGTAAGAAGTAAAAACCAGAAACCACATAAACACAGATGATGTGGCCCTTACCCTCAAGGAGCTTCTAACTGACCCCAAATGAGCAGAGACTCTCCAAGTGACACCATCTTGGCATGAGCATGGAGAAGGTACCTCATCTGGCTCATAGGAGGTGAGAATGTTTATCCAGCAAGTTAAAAAAAGGGCAGGAGAGATGATTAAAGAAGAAAAAAAATGGAACAAGTAGGAATCATGTCAGGGACGATTCAAAAGGTTTCACGACATGAAGTTTCCTCTTTCTAAAGCAACACACACCAGTGTCCGAGAAGCAGTTTTGGCAGATGATCACTGGGGTGCTGCCCTTTACACTCAGATGATGATGGAGGATCATGAGAAAACAAGAACAGCAGCAGGGGCAGAGGTACCTTCTTTGGGGGCTGGTCATCTCCCCCACACTGTGCTAGGGCACAACTTTCAAGGAGAAAGAAATTTTGTTCACTCATTTAGGGGAGTTTGGGAAGGTCCGGGAACGAGATTCATAAGTTTCAATACTTCGGAAAAGAAAGAAATGGGGTTTTTGTTTGTTTGTTTGCTTCAAACTCTATTTCCTACATTTGCTATCATCCTTCATCCTGTCAATGTGAGATATCGGGGTAATACCACTGCACCATCCTTGCCTCCCTGGAATGAATCCCACTTCATCACAGTTGAATGGTCTTTTAACTGTACTCTTGAATCTAGCTTCCAGTATTGCGGTTAAGGATTTCTGCACCTGCATTCACTGGGAATCCTGGCTCACAGACTTCTTGTTGCCATTGCTGTCCTTGTCTGGTTTCTGTATCAGGTAGAATGCTGTCCTTGTAAAACCGTTTTTGAAAATATTCTCTCCTCTTTGATTGTTTTGGGGAAAAAAATTAGATAAATTGATATTAATTATTTTTTAAATAGTAGATAGAATTCCACAGTGAGGCCATCAGGTCCTGGGCCTTTCTTTGAATGGGAAATGTTTTATCACTGATTCAGTTTCCTTATTCACTGGTGATCTGTTTAGATTTTCTCCCTTCACACTTCAATCTTGGTTGGTTTATGTGTCAAGGAATTTATTCATATCTTCTGGGTTATCCACCTGCTGGCACATAATGGCTCATGATGTCTCTTTTTATGCTTTGCATGTCTGTGGTGTCAGGTGTAATTCTCCTTCATTTCTGATATTTAGTGAGTCCTCAGTTTTTTTTCTCTAGTCACATTTCTGGTCAATTATTACTATATTCACTTCTCTGAATTCTTTCTCTGTCATCTTCTGAAATTTACTGGGCTTCCCTAGAGGAGTT